ATATTAACATTGATAAGATATAGACCATCACATATAATTGCTTATAAAAAATGTATTTGGGAATTAGAAATTTGCATGTAATAAAAAACATTTTTAAATTTTACTTAGGTAAAGTCTTAGAAGAAATTGCTCAAGCAGTCAACATTAATAGCTATTTTGTTTAAGGCAGTGTGATGGGTGGTTGTTGGAGGAATCATTTCATATGTCTTGTGCCCAAGGCCTGGTGGGGAATTTGTTTTGTGCCCAGGACTCCCTACCAGTTTTCATGGTCTCTAAAGGCTTTTGTGGGTACTGGTCACCAGAGATTCTAATACTCTTCTCTGAGCTTCTCATCTCTGAGGAGTTGCTGGGGTACAATTGGCAGTATGGATCTACCTGACTTGTGTCAGAGGTGCCTTTAGATTTTGAGGATGGGCCAGGCTAGGAAGTGACTGGCTATCCATCAAGCCCTTTGTCTGAAAACCCAGTTTACACAATAAAACTTTGAATTATTTTATACTTGCTTAGTAGGATTATTAATTCCTCTTCTTTTTCTGTTATTTTGTGATTTGTAAACTACTTTTTAAAAAAATGTTTATTTTTGAGAGGGAGTGAGAATGTGAATGGAGTCGGTTGGGGGGGGGGAGTGGGCAGAGAGAGAGGGAGAGAGAGAATCCTAAGCAGGCTCCACACTGTCAGCACATAACCCGATGTGGGGTACAGTCCTCCCACAAACTGTGAGATTATGACCTGAGCTGAAATTGAGAGTTGGACACTTAACTCACTGAGCCATCCAGGTGCCCCTGTGCTTTGTAAACTATTAATGCAATACTTCAACATTATAAATAAAAAGACTTCAGGGAAGGCATTAGATAAGGGTTGAAAAAGTTAGTAAGTCACTGTTACTAATTCATGAAATGGTGTTCCTGGCTGTTCATTTTCCATGTAGGACAAATGAAAAACAGTAATATCTTCATTTGGACTAAGAAACATATAGTTTTATGGAACTGACACTATATTATTTAAAGAACAATTTTAGTTCTTTGAAGTCATTTCCCTGAAAAATCAGCAAAAGAAGAGACAAAACTTATTGTCAAATTGGGACAGACCTAGAAAACTGCTGGAGGGAGAGTAGTTTTTGTTGGGAGGAAGCAGACATGCAATTGCTTTTGCATGTTCAAATTTTTCTCCTCAGACATTCTTATTATAACAAACTATTATTGTACTGAGTCTATAAATAGTATTTATATGGGAAACAGACCAGAACACCATTCAAATAAAGCAAGAAACAGCATCATTAATATTTAGACAAGGAGGTACAACATCAAAATGAGAATCTGAGTTTCCTAATTACTTAAAACCAAAATCTGACTTAAGGCAACTGGTCGATTGAGTCTTGAAGCAGCAGTTACCTTGGGGAAGCCTGTGGACTTCCAAGTTGTCGTGGGATGATGCTCCTGGGACTATTAGGACACTACTCCATGAGGCAGTGGTTGTTGTTTGGGTTGACCAGGTAGAAGGTTCTAGTGTACCCCAGCCAATCTAAATCAAGCTAGAGGTGCCTGGGTAGCACAGTCAGTTGAGTGTCTGACTTAGGCTCATGATCTCATGGTTCATGGGTTCGAGCCCCGTGTCAGGCTCTGTGCTGACAGCTCGGAGCCTGGAACCTACCTCAGATTCTGTCTCCTTCTCTCTCTGTCTCCCCCCACTCTCATTCTGTCTCTCTCTGTCTCTGAAAAATGAACAAACATTAAAAAACTTAAAAAAGTAAGTCAAGCTACATCTTCATTTATTCTGAAAATACCTGTTGTCAAAAAACAAAACAAAACAGGCTTGTCAGGCTTCTATGTGCTAGATATTTACTTAACTTTGGGAAAATTAGTAAGCGAATTTAGCCTCCTAAAATTTAGGCTAGTAGGAAAATAAATCATTTATAGCATGTGTTATTTTTCATTATTTAAAAAAGTTAAAGATTTTTAATAGGCTTAACAAAAACTATCAATCTCTCATCTTACAAGCCCTCACCACTTAGTTACTCACAAAGACCACTTTGAACTTTTAGCCATTTCTGTTTCTTTCATGACCATGATTGTCTTGCTACTACTTGATTTTTTCCTCAGTTTTAGATACATTCTTCTCATTTTATACTGTTACGTTTATATCATAGTGACTTTGCACATACTAAAACTGAGTTATTTAATTTATTTTCATGGTGTTACTAAATAACTGTTTTCCCAAGGGTTAGTAATTATCTTTGAATTTTCTTTAAAAGAATTGTAAATTTCCTTTCATTACATTCAGATACATTAGGATATTGATTAGTTCCATTTTTATTCTCCAGAGACATTTCTTGGAGGCTATAACCTATTGCTCCAGTCTAGATAAGATCCTGTCTGAACCTTTTACACAATAGTTGTCCTGGAATATCTCTCTGTTGACATGAGAATTTCATTGCTTTCTATGCTATATTGGATACCCTACTTCTAGATTCTATATCCTCTTTCCTTGATTTATTCTCATGTGTTGTTAGAGTGCCTTATCTAGTATCTTCCCATAAAAGAAGCATATGAAGGTAGTTGTTTTTGTTTTGTTTATTTTTAATTAAAAAGCTTAGGAGGCATTGAGTTTGAAATCTGGGATTAAAGAACTTCTTAAACAGACTTTCAACTACTTTTGATCACCTCTTATTTTCTCCCCTTCAGCAGTACTTGCTGCTTCCATTTCCTGTACACCAAACTGATTACCTATTGTTTTCTTTCTCTGTAGGCATATCTTTCTCTGTAGATAATTCCTTCCATTATCCACATTTTTTTGACATTTTTGTAGGCTCACCAATAGAACTCTTCAGTGGCAATAGATAGTTGCCAGGGTGATGGAATGCTTTCTTTACCCAAAGTACAAAAGTATAGTATGCTATTATGTACTCCATTTAAAACTTTTTATATATTTGTAAAATGTTTTTCTGTTCAGTTTACTGTTGTCACAAGTGGGTTGTATTGTAGCATTTTATTTTTGAAGAAATTAAAATCTCAAATTTCTAAATTAAAAAAAAGTGTCATATTTACTCTAAGGTCATTAATGTGTTTATCGGATTAATCTGAGTCTCCCAGATAATTCTTTGATTTCTCTTTTGGCATCTGTGAATAAAATCCAATATGAAGTAATCATAGTGATAGCATTTCAAACCAGCTTAGTTAGTGTAAGCCTACTAGTTCTAAAAAGAGGAGTGGAGGGAAAAAAACTTAGATTGTAATTTTAAATTCTTGAATGGAAAATATTCTTTTTCTTAATAAGTTCTGTTATGAGACTCTTGATTTATTTTCCTCACTTATCTACTTTTATTATAGGCTTTATGCCAGACTTATTAGACTTCTGGTCTTATAGAATGTTTTTAATAATTTGTATGGGTGTAGGAAGACATAAGGAGCCTAAAGAATGAAGACGTAGAAGGGAAGGTAAAGCTTACATAGAAGGGCACCTGGGTGGCTCAGTCAGTTAAACTTCAGACTTCAGGTCATTATAACATGGCTCTGAGGTGATTTGTGAGTTTGAGCCCCACATAGGGCTCTGTGCTGACATCTCAGAACCTGGAGCCTGCTTTGGATTCTGTCTGCCTCTCTCTCTGCCCCTCCCCAACTCGTAGCGTACTCTGTCTCTCTCTCACTGTCTCTCAAAAATAAATAAAAACATTAAAAAAAAAACCTTAAATGGACATAATTTTTGCCTTCACCTTACTTGTTTTATTAGTTTTATAATCAAAACATTCCAACTTTAGTTATATTAAGTATAAGGTATAGAAATTGATGTGGATGAATTACTGTCTTACAATTGCCATTTGGGACTATACATTTTTAAAGAATACGTTACTGTAATTCTTGACTTACATTTTGGTTTATTCTCCCAGTGTTTCTAGGAGTATTTGATATTTTCTCCAAGCCAGGGCAGTATAGTTTCAGGTAGCTTTCTAAAGCAGTGATTCTTTAGAAAGCTATCTGAACTTGTGATGAGCACTGGGGTTTGTACCTACATGATGAATCACTAAATTGTACACCTGAAACTAATATTACATATATTATAATTATTATATTGTATGTTCACTAACTGGAATTTAAATAAAAGCTAAAAGAAAAAAGAAAACAGTGCTTCCCAATTTTAATATGCAGACGAACACTTGAGGATCTTATTAAAATGCAGAAACTGAGATGAGGCATTAGTCTGTATTTCTTTTTTTTTTTTCAACGTTTATTTATTTTTGGGACAGAGAGAGACAGAGCATGAACGGGGAAGGGGCAGAGAGAGAGGGAGACACAGAATCGGAAACAGGCTCCAGGCTCTGAGCCATCAGCCCAGAGCCTGACGCGGGGCTCGAACTCACGGACCGCGAGATCGGGACCTGGCTGAAGTCGGACGCTTAACCGACTGCGCCACCCAGGCGCCCCTGTCTGTATTTCTAACAAGCTCCCCAAATGCTGATGCTGGTAGTCCTTCCAGACACACTTACTACCCAGGGTCTAAACTAACTTGATATCTGAGTAATACAGAATAGAGAATCTGGTTTTAAGTATCTGTAACTATTGAGCTTCTAGATAGAAGTCAGTAACAGACTTTGCATTACTGGCTGCTAATAAGTACATCTAAATTGTACTGGATTTATTGCTTCTTAGAGATTTAATATATTCATTATTTGTAGGATTCTGTTTAGAAGCAATTTGAGTCATAAACTTTTATTTATTAATATGTTTTATACATTACATACATATACTGTATTTCCTTAGTGTCTTTAAAGAAAAAATGTTATACTCTATATGTGCTAAATTTTAATTTTCAGTATGCAAATATCTGTTATCTATAGCTGTTAGTCATTGAGATCTTATTATGTATGGTGTTCTATGCTTATAGAAACATAAAACCACAGAATATATACATATTTATAACTAGCTTCATTGTAATGTTTATTCCTGTGTAATTAGATGTTAACAATGGAAAGTGGTTAATGCCTTTTTTTTAAATCTTCTAAATAGCTCAGTCACTAAAGGAATTTGCAAGACTACTCATTGCAGTAGAAGAAGAAAGGAGGAGACTGGTAAGTCCGTTCCCCATTTCTTCAGAATAAAACTTTGTTTGGACATACTGAAAGAAAGACCAGACCTTCTGAATTAGACTTAGCCATACCAGACCCTATATTTGATAGATGTACTAAATGTTACAGAAAATATTTCTGTATGATTATGATTATCAATAATTTATGATTATCAATAATTTCTGTATGAGTGTGATTATCAATTATTGCTTATGATATATACCATTTCTGTTTATTTCAGGTGTAATTTCATCAGGTGTAAATTATATTCATTTTGTTTTCCAGTTAATTCTTTTGAGAATTAAAAATATTGAATTGTCATTAGAAACCCATTCTGAGTAACCTTATAAATAACTTTAGTGTTATAATAAAGATACATTCTAAGTATTAAAGACAATTCATAAAAGGAGCAAATAATTCTTTCTTAAAAAGGTGACATTTCAGTTGGGTCTTAAAGTCTGGCAGGATTCTGTTTGGCTGGGAAGAGTGGGGAAAACATTTCAGGTTGATGGATTAACTTAATGTGGCAGTATCAGAGGATAGTTACCATAATATATTTATCCATTTACCAATATAATTTTTGTACCCATTTTGTTAAAATTTCTGTGAAGGCCTCTGTCTATGACCCTCACTTCCCATTTGTATATGGGAAAATTAGTACATTTCCCACAGGATTGTCATTTGCAGCAGCACATGGCACATAGTAAGTATTGATGGTAATAAAGATGTTGATTGTCTCTTACAGCGAGGGTTCCAGTCTTGTTTAAAATGCCACCTTTATCACTGGCTTCATCCTGTTGGGGAATTATGTATACACATATGTATATATGTGCATTAAATGTGCATTAAATGTGGTGTCATTCTGCTAATTGGATAAGGAGAACAGTTTCAGGAGGATGGCCTTGGCACAGGGAATGTTGCCTGAGCTAAGGAAGAATCACACAACCATTACTTGGCAGTCATATAATGAACTTGAGAAGAGGTCACAGGGTGGAAGAAAGTACTGTATATATTTGTAGAATAAGGCAGATAGTTCTCAGAGAGTATTAGAAGATTGACTGGTAGTTTTGGTCATAAGTAGGGTGTAAGAGGTGGGCTAAAAAGTTTTGGTGTGTGTTACAGAAGAGCAAAATTGCTAGTTTTTGAAAAGGATGGGAGAACCAATGTGGGATTTAGGAGAGATTAATTTGGTGGCCATGTGAAAGATAGATAAGGTAGACTGTCAGGGATGACTATATTTTTTTAGGAAACATCAGCCTACAATGGTCTGGTCCCAGTACAGTGTAATCTGTGCTAGATACATATGAGCCATTATGGGAGACTTACATCCTTTCTGGGGAGATCAGAAAAAGCTTTTTTTCTGGAGGGAAGTTTGATTGGAGTCTTAAGACTAAATTGTATACTTTTAAGTACTGTATGCATAATCTTCAGTCCAGTTTCATGAACTATGCAATAGAAGTCCAAGTTTAATGGGGAAATGTGAGTAGGAGGTATCTTATGGCCCAGAGAAGAGCTGATGATGAAAATGGGAAAAAGTGGTTAGGGAGATGTGAAAATAGAGTTTTAAATGGTGTGGAAGCCAGGGGAATATACGATTTAGGGTTGAGTGAGGTTGTTATTCAAATCCTGTGCAAGTACTTCAGGAGAATGATCAATCAGCTAGCATGAATTATTGAAAGAATATGGGAAAGTGTGTTGTAGTTTGCAGGAGTGAAAAGAACCAAAGAAATGTAAGGGTAGTTTATAGAAAGAGTTTAGAAAGGCAGGAGCAAGTTATATAAGAGAAAAGGGATTATGGTTAGTGATAATGGGCCATTGAAGGTGGACATCATAAATATGTCAAGGAAAGACTAATTATCATGCTTTCATAGATTTTTCTAGCAATACCCAGAGCCATGGATGAGCAGTAAGAATAGTTGGGAGGCCAGATTCAAGGGGTGGGCACAGAAGATGTGCTGGATTACAGGGACATGGGTTTGTATAATATGAAAATGGGTCTTGACTGAGTATAGCAATAACTGAGGCAAGAGGTTATTGATGGCCTTAGAAAGCAGAGGGCAAGCATGACTACTTCACTATGTTGACAGTTCACTAACAATAAAAGAAATTCTGAGACCAGGAAGTTGTGATCAGGAGTAGGAGTTGAAATATGCTGAACTTAGCAGTGGAGTTGGTCCAGATAGTGATGAAGTTAAGATGTGGCTAAACAGGAAGACAGACTTTAGGAATCTAGAAGGCTAAGCTTAGAGGTTTGGATGTTTTATGAGCAGAATCTTGAGGTCATGCAAGATGGTGACTGAAGAAAGGACAAAGACCAACAAGAAAAAGTGGCTGAGGAATGTGGTAGAATGTCTTATAGGCAGTGGAAATGGAGATTGAAACACCAGCTGTTAGGTCTTCATTTCTGCCTTTAGCCATGTTTCTCATGTTGGGGCAAGGAGGAAATTCTGTGTTCATGAGTGAAGTCGCATTGCAGGTTTTGATTGCTTTACCTATTGTTTTAGAGAAGTTCTGACATAAAGAATGCAAAATAATGAAGAAAAATCTACAGGTAAAATCCTAATGGATTGCATGCCCAAAAAAGATTATATAATTGTAATTATTAAACACACAAATCTAAGTATTGGAATAAACACTTTCAGTTATATGATGCTACTACAACTGAAGGTATATCTGTTAGCAGATTATGTGCAAAGATGTGCTGAAGAATTTATTTTTTATTAAAAATGTTTTTTTTTAAATGCTTACTTATTTTTTGAGATAGAGAAAGCACAAGCAGGGGAGGGGCAGAGAGAGAGACAGAATCTGAAGCAGGCTCCAGGCTCTGAGCTGTCAGCACAGAGCCTGACGCGGGGCTTGAAGTCATGGACTGGGAGAGCATGACCTGAGTCCAAGTTGGACTCTTAACCAACTGAGCCACCCGGGTGAAGAATTTCTTTTAAAAATTATTACTTCATTTAGGAAGAAGAATATTTTAAGTGTACTAAAAGTATAAAGGAGTTCTGTAATTGATACACTCATTTAATTGTTTTTTTTATGATAAGTCGTGATTTATTTTATATTAATTGAATTTGGCCACAACTTAAATATGTTAGAACAGTGACTAAAAAATAAAATCACAAGATGATAGAAGACACCTAATGGTTTACATTCTCTTGTTTCCAGTGATTTACTGTACTTAGTAAGATGAATACAACATCTAGGTAATCTAAAGGCTGTTTGCAGGGGCTCCTTGGTGGCTCAGTCAGTTAAGCATCCAATTTCAGTGCAGGTCATGATCTCACGGCCCATGAGTTTGAGCCCCTGCATTGGGCTCTGTGCTGACAGCTCAGAGTCTGGAGCCTGCTTTGGATTCTGTGTCTCCGTCTCTCTTTGCCCACCCCCCACTCATGCTCTGTCTCTCTCATTCTTTCAAAAATAAATGAACATTAACAACAACAACAACAACAACAACAAAAGCAAAGTCTGTTTGCAGAAAAAAAGCCCAAAGAAATACAGATTTTTTTTTTTAATAAATGGGACTCTTCTTAGTTCCTTACTAACTTGAAGTATTGAGTTAAAAATTTCTGCCAAAGCCAACTAAAAATGCAGTTTTAATGCAACAAAAAAAGTGACTCGGAGATGGAAATAGGAAATATCCATTTCAGAAACTTTTGAGAATATACTTTATCCTGTCTCATACTTCTTACCGGAAAAATAGGCTTCCATGATGCAGTATTTTTCAGTATGTTAACTGACATCTGCCATCACGTGGCTACGCAGGAACAGCCTTTTAATGACACAAATAGAAGAAGTAATTTAATAGCCCTTTGTAATGGCCTAAGTAAAATGCCTATTTACTTATAGTGAGGTTACTGTTATTGATTAGTGACATGGGCTCTTTTTTTTTTTTTTAAGTGCATCTTTATTGGAAGTGTTAAAATTTTTCCCCATAGAATGTAGCACTTTAATGATTAGAGATGTCCTAGATCATATGTCCTATTTTAAGGACTCTGAGCCTGTCTCCAGTGCAAGGAGGGGCATTTAAGCCATATAAACTTCATGGTAAGGTCTCTTCAGTTTTCATACCACCACAGGAACTGCTGTATTTACTTCAGATGACAGCTAACCTGGCTGTGCAAACACTACTACTTTAGTCCAGGCTGTTATACCAAGAGAACACCCTAGCATGAAATGTTCATTGAAGCCTTATTGGTATTGAAATTCTGAATTTGACTCTTTGCCTTAAGGCCTATGGACTTGACATTCCCTCTATCTGTATCCCTGGAATTATACTCTACTTATCATTCTTTCCTTCTCAGTATTCACTCTCATGTTCTCTGTTCTCTATCCCCACTGGCTTTCTTTCTACTCCTCTTAATGGTCTCTACAAGCTTCTTATGGACTTAGACCTTTGTATTGTCCTTTACTCTCTCTTGAACAGCCTTCCTCTGCCTTGTCCTGATCCATATCCTCTCAAGACTGGTTCCATCTTTTCATTCACACTTGAGCCCATATACTCCCCTGGAGGTCTGCACTTTCCATACAGCTTGAATTAGTCCCCTTTAATCCTTGTGTATTGTGACAGAAATACCTGCTGTGATGCAGTTTGCATTCTACTGGGCAGACATTAAACACATTATTTCTGATGGTGGTAAGTGCTAAAAAGAAAAAATAGTGCATTTGGTCGAAGATACTGCCACTTACTGAGATGAAGAAGGTGAGGGGAGAAAATAGTTAAAATTTGAATCTACTTAGATGCCTAAGTAGATATCTAAGTAGATGTGTCTAGGGAGCATCTGGATATATGAGTCTGGAGTTCAGGGGAACATATAAATTTTGAAGTTGTCAACCTGTAGTGGGAATTTAAAGCTATGGGAATGTATGAGATCACCGGATCTATGAGTGTGTAGACAGAAGAGAAAAGGTAGGAGGATTGAGCCCTGAGGTGCCTTGAGTCCAGACTTTGGTCAGATAAGGTAGAATCAACAAAGGAGATTTAGATCAATAGGAGACCCAGGAAG